TATCCTGTTGTTTGAAAGTATAACATTTTATCTACCAAAAAAGGTGAAATTCATGAGGAAATAGTTTGAATATAATTGGACGTGGGGATTTTTCCCCAAATTTTTACAGCTCCTGCATTCACATAGTAGAGATGCAACGTTGGTCTCAATGAATATAAAATGTACAAAACAGAACTTAAACAGATTTGAAATTGACTAAAATATCAATTTAAATGGTCAAGTTAATTAGATGTCTAAAATGTTTCACTGTAACAGGGGGCATCAATTATAGATAAATTTTAGCTTCACATGTTTAACATGGAATGGAAATCTGTCCTGTAATATACACAAGAGGCCTATCAATGTAGCCTTCTATATGAGGAGCGTACTAAGCACACTGCCGTTTGTTTTTGCAACAGATTGTGTTTGAGGCTCCAATATAATAAATTGTTACAAATTCCAGTGAACGTTACCAGAAATGAATACTCTTCATTTCTGTTTTAAATGTTTACTATATCGCTGTCAGACCATAGTTGGCAATGATCCTCCTTGAAAGCCAAGAATCTACTTTCTATGAAAAGTTCAGCACATACATACTCAAGAATATTCACATTCTTATTACTTATACATACATCCCGGTGATGGAAATACACCAAATATTTTATGGGGAAGTTAAATCCTCCCGATTTCAAGACCACAACTGTTGCCCAAGTACTAGTCATGGGATTCACTGCTACACTTGAGATAGTAAATGCAAGGCAGTCAAAAACATAGCCAGACACACAGACCAGAAACCACGACTGACACTTAGCTGTTCTTTCAAACCAAACAAAGTGAGTTTCTCAGGAAATACTTCAAAGGAAATTCATTGTGATTAAATAAGCCATTATAGCATCTATGAATTCCTTTCTTAAAGAAAAAGCGTAGTAAAATAAATCATAGATATTATCTTACCACCTCTTCGTTCCAGTCCGAGAAGTGACATCAAAAGCCAACACTTGCCCACAGCGGTCATGAGCTGAGCCTGGTTAAGAAGCCACAGCTGATGAACACAAAACTTTTCACCTACAACAAAAAAAAAATTTCCCAGCATTTACAATTATACACACACACAGATGTGCCATATATAATGGAAACTGAACAAACTGTTGTAACTAAAATTTTTCATTAAATTATTTTGGGTTTTCTTATAATATTCCAATCAGAAAAAAAGTTACTAAAATTTACTTTAAGGACTAAATTGTTATTTTAAATGCACTACTTAGAATGTTTGAAAACTCTACAAGAGTTTTACTAAAATAAAACATTTTAAGGAAAATAAATTACATCATTTCACGTTGTCTTCATGAGGGAGCACTGAGCTGGTCCCAGGACCCTGCCGTCAGAGGATTGCAATGGAATTCACAGAAACAATGGTATGACTTTGTACAACAATATCTCTTTTCTGCTCAGGTTCAATACTTATGAATCAAACTAACAAGGGAGGAAGGGACAAAATAAACTATCATTTCATGTCCAGCCAAGAGAGCTCTCAAGAGGGCAGAGAATGCACATGTGCACACAGACTCATGAAAGCTTGGGAGAGTGAGGTGAAGGTAGAGCAACAGGCGAGCCATTCCTACATTTACGAAGCAAAGCAAGACCAGCCTGGTAGTTCTTCAGCATTTCAGAGAAGCAAAGTTCAACATAAAGTGAGCTTTGAGCAGTTTCAGATTCAAAGATTGAGAACTTAATAGGTGGACTCAACTGAAAAATCATTCAATCCCAGCAGAGTCACAGGACAGATAAAAGATGATCAACAGAAAGGTAATTCTAAAAGTAGAGGGCTTCAAATCTTAAACTAAAACAGACTCAACTCAATAGTTTGAATATAATTGGACGTGGGGATTTTTCCCCAAATTTTTACAGCTCCTGCATTCACATAGTAGAGATGCAACGTTGGTCTCAATGAATATAAAATGTACAAAACAGAACTTAAACAGATTTGAAATTGACTAAAATATCAATTTAAATGGTCAAGTTAATTAGATGTCTAAAATGTTTCACTGTAACAGGGGGCATCAATTATAGATAAATTTTAGCTTCACATGTTTAACATGGAATGGAAATCTGTCCTGTAATATGCACAAGAGGCCTATCAATGTAGCCTTCTATATGAGGAGCGTACCAAGCACACTGCCGTTTGTTTTTGCAACAGATTGTGTTTGAGGCTCCAATATAATAAATTGTTACAAATTCCAGTGAATGTTACCAGAAATGAATACTCTTCATTTCTGTTTTAAATGTTTACTATATCGCTGTCAGACCATAGTTGGCAATGATCCTCCTTGAGAGCCAAGAACCTACTTTCTATGAAAAGTTCAGCACATACATACTCAAGAATATTCACATTCTTATTACTTATACATACATCCCGGTGATGGAAATACACCAAATATTTTATGAGGAGGTTAAATCCTCCCGATTTCAAGACCACAACTGTTGCCCAAGTACTAGTCATGGGATTCACTGCTACACTTGAGATAGTAAATGCAAGGCAGTCAAAAACATAGCCAGACACACAGACCAGAAACCGCGACTAACACTTACCTGTTCTTTCAAACCAAACAAAGTGAGTTTCTCAGGAAATACTTCAAAGGAAATTCATTGTGATTAAATAAGCCATTATAGCATCTATGAATTCCTTTCTTAAAGAAAAAGCGTAGTAAAATAAATCATAGATATTATCTTACCACCTCTTCGTTCCAGTCCGAGAAGTGACGCCAAAAGCCGACACTTGCCCACAGCGGTCATGAGCTGAGCCTGGTTGAGAAGCCACAGCTGATGAACACAAAACTTTTCACCTACAACAAAAAAAAAATTTCCCAGCATTTATAATTATACACACACACAGATGTGTCATATATAATGGAAACTGAACAAACTGTTGTAACCAAAATTTTTCATTAAATCATTTTGGGTTTTCTTATAATATTCCAATCAGAAAAAAAGTTACTAAAATTTACTTTAAGGACAAAATTGTTATTTTAAATGCACTACTTAGAATGTTTGAAAACTCTACAAGAGTTTTCCTAAAATAAAACATTTTAAGGAAAATAAATTACATCATTTCACGTTGTCTTCATGAGGGAGCACTGAGCTGGTCCCAGGACCCTGCCTTCAGAGGATTGCAATGGAATTCACAGAAACAATGGTATGCCTTTGTCCAACAATATCTCTTTTCTGCTCAGGTTCAATACTTATGAATCAAACTAACAAGGGGGGAGGGGACAAAATAAACTATCATTTCATGTCCAGCCAAGAGAGCTCTCAAGAGGGCAGAGAATGCACATGTGCACACAGACTCATGAAAGCTTGGGAGAGTGAGGTGAAGGTAGAGCAACAGGCGAGCCATTCCTACATTTACGAAGCAAAGCAAGACCAGCCTGGTAGTTCTTCAGCATTTCAGAGAAGCAAAGTTCAACATAAAGTGAGCTTTGAGCAGTTTCAGATTCAAAGATTGAGAACTTAATAGGTGGACTCAACTGAAAAATCATTCAATCCCAGCAGAGTCACAGGACAGATAAAAGATGATCAACAGAAAGGTAATTCTAAAAGTAGAGGGCTTCAAATCTTAAACTAAAACAGACTCAACTCAGTGATGAAGTATGAGCCCCACTTCTTGGTGAGGAACTAGCAGTGTACATAGAAAGCTGATATTAGCCTATATTAACTGTAAAGTTAAATTTAAACAATATTCACTTCAGTGAGTTCAATTTTATAGAGTAAATCATTTAATCCTTACAAATTGGGTTTTAAATACATTTCTCTCTCCTCTTTCTCCCTTTTGGTATATCCATTACTGAATGCCAATTATTTCAGCCTTGATTTTGTTGCTCAGAATGTACAAATAGGGGATTCACCCATGGCATGCATTAATCTTCTCCTGGATATCACACTCATATGGGGATATCGCTACACATTACGTTAGTCATTATAAGTCCTATTATTAAAGGCATTGTGTGTGAATTTACTGAGTTGGCAACTTCTTGTGAGTGGTAAGGCTCACCCACATTTTGGGACCATGGGCATGGGATGCAGGATGAGTGGGCACAACTTGACCATGTCATCTCGCAGAGGTAGTACCGCATTGGCCATAAAAATGATTCCACCAACGTCCTCTTATAGTTTGCTCATCCTTTATCTATAACAGAAAACCTTCAATCTACAAAAAAAAGTTCTTACATAGCACTACTGAATATCTTTGTAGAAAGAAAGATGTCTTTAAAAACACTGAATTCCAGATGAGAAACTTTCTACTTCTCTCTGCCACTGTCTAGCTCTATGCCCTTCGGCTTATGACTTCAACACACAGGTTGAGAGCAAAGTCACGAGACAGCCATGCCATCTTTATACCTGCTTCACCCTCCACCACCAACTGTCCAGGTGGCCTGAAGTCTTCATTTAAACCCTGTAAACCTGTAACTTATTTTCCTTCAAACTAGGATCAGAACACTTAGATTTTCTCTAACCTCACAGATACATTGGAAACTGCTTCCAACCATGCTAGGAAGTTTAAATGGAAAATACGCCAAGCCACATGTCCTTTCTCAGTAAATGAGATCTTTTGTTACTCTAATAGAATAATCTGAGATTCTCTAATTCTTAAACTTGATCCAAATTGTGCAAACTTCCACAGCCTGGAAAAACTCCACAAAGATGTACACATGTAAATAAAGATGCATAAATATAAAGGTGCTGGAAGAACACAATGACGTGTGCCCCCAGGAAGACGTGAGAAGCCACAGTGGGCATCTCTGTAAACCTCTGCCTGCCTAACCACTATGCAACAGAGAGACTTCAGTGAAACCCTAATTTCACAGGGATACAGACACAACCATACAGACACCCCAAGTCCTCATCTTAAAAATGAAACATCCTAACAGGTTTTTAAAAAGTATTTCAGGTCATTTGAAACTGAATTATTTTCTCCAGTTGGTAAATAAAATGTACTGTCTTTTTAAATAAATTCTTTGTTCTAAGACAGTTTTAAAATTTGAGGGAAAAGATCGAAGATAAATATTACAGTAATGTGTATATGCTGTATATCAAGAAAGATTATCTCCCTCTGTGACTGTGGAGATGAATGTTATTGTATTCCTTTTAGGCACTCTTTTATATTTATTAATGCTTAATAAAATATTAATCACAAGAGAAATAGAGGTTTGGGTCAGAAGAAGTTTTTGTGCACCATACTGAGCAGACTGAGCTAATAATGCAAACAATTTGACACCACAGTCATGAAGGAAGAACTGCTGTGAGCTGAATTCTTGTTTTTTCTGAACTAAGTTCAGTTTTGAAGAAATTTAGATTCTGGCAAGCTTTCCCTGAAACATTTCAGTGCATTAATGTTGAAACATCATTCAAGGGGCACGCTATTCTCAATTATATTTACCCTTCATTTTAAGGCTTGAATTTTAAAGATAAATCCAGTAACATTTCTTCCTAATCATTAAGCCTGTTCAGATAGTTGACAAAAGATAATGCTTTTGGCTATTACAGTTAGACCTTGTGAAGTGTGGACAATCAAAAGAGTGCATTTAGCATTTTCATTTGTATTTTCAATTTAGCATGGTGGCTAAGACTGCAGGCTCTGGAGCCAGCTGCCTTGATTAAAACCTTAGCTCTCCAACCTATTTGTTATGTGTCCTAGGGACAGGGGCTTTACATTTTTATATGTCAAATTCCTTATCTATAAGATATGGGTAAAAATGGATTAATACCTAATTCTATTTAGGTTTAAGGGTATGTTAAGTATACAGAATACAATCTTGTACATAATAGCTATTATAGAAGTGTTGTTATTACTCACATTAATCTACAGAATATATATTAAGGACCTCCTTTGTGCCAGGAATTTTTCTAGGTTGGATAAAGCATTAAACAAAATATACACAAAACCCTGTCATTGTGAAGCTTCTGTCTGAATAGGGCAGGTGGAAAATGAATATGGAAAATAAGGAAAATATACAGTACTTAAATGAGAATCACTTAGGAGAAAAAGAGCAGGATAGGAAATAGGAAATGTTGGAAAGTATTGAAATTTTTGAAAGGATGGCTGTGTTAAGTGTGACACTTTCGTGTCTCAGTTTCAAACCCCCCTTCTACAGAGACTTGGTGATGCTGGGGCAGAGACCCACATGCACCGGGCCAGCTGGCTCCTTGCAAGGCCCTACCGACGGGGGTGCGGCCAGGGAGCCTGAGAGAGACCAGGGAGGGACTTTCCACTTCATGCTCTACCGGTTTCCTTCCAGCCTCACCCCACTCCTGCAGGACAGAGCCCCAGCTGCAACCAGGTTTTATGTCTTCCTCTACACTTGCAGACCCACCCTTATCATGTCTCCATGTCCCCCAGGCAAGTACTCACGCCAGCTGGTGGGGACCCCCTTCCAGGCTCAGAGCCACCCTTGCCTTAACCCAGACCAAGCTTTGCAAGGGTCCTCCTCCAAGTTTCTCCAGGTAATCCAGTCTTTTTCCCTTTATTCTCCAAACCTTTGTTCTCCGGTGACAGCTGCCATTCCCAGCTACCGCCTCTGTGATACTGAGAGTTCTCATCGCACCCTTTTCAGTAACCAAGTTAACCAGTCTTTGTACCGCGCTAACAATTTTTCTATTAAGTTTTCTCTTTAAATCCTGGAAGACCTCATAAGTAAGGTAACCATTATTCACTGTTTGAACAGGATACTTCTGAGGATGAAATGGGCTACTATTAATAATCATGTTGAAATAATAGGCATTAACTGGGACTGTTCTGGACATAGTGACTTGAACGACCTTCCTATGTGTAAGGTATTACCAGGACTTTGGTTTTTATCCAAAGTGAGGCATGAAGCTATTTGACAGTATTGTGTAGAGAAGTGACACATTCTAACTTAATTGTAGTAACTGCTCCCAGGAAGAGAAACGAGATGTATTTTCTATACAACACAATGTTTCCTAACTCATTATGAATTCTTTAACTATAATCTCTAATAAATGTAGTAAAACATATAGTTTTGAGTAAATTTAATGGAAACAAAAACATACAGGCATACCACTCTTTTTACCATGAAACCCAACTGTTCTCAATAATTGTTTACATAAACTTTAGCTTCTTTTCCATTTTATGAAAAATCATTAATAAGATTTTTGAAACTGAAGTTTAATATGTTAATCTTCGTGCTTTTGTTCCAGATCTTTCCCTCTATTCTTGAAATAGTGCAAAGGATGAATCAACCTACCTTTATTTTCAGCAAATATTGATTGCAGGAAAATGTAAAGTTTAGAAGGTAAATCATAGCTAAGAATTAAAACAGCTGGGATCTGAGCCCTTTCCTGTCTTCAAAGCCAGTATTTTGTGTGCTACATGAAGCTTCATGTATTAAACATTCTTTTTAATTTTATGAGCTTTTAATTTCATTTCAAAAAATCAAACAATAAACAAAATGAAGAAATGTACATGCTGTTTTGTTTTGTGGAAAACTGGAACTTTAAAATGAGAAAAAATAATTCCATTGAAAGCAAAACTTCAGTCATCTTAATTCTTTTCCTCTGCCAATAATTGCCTATTTGTATTTGATACCATTTCTCTTCTCTAACATGTTCATATGTGGCAAGAACTGGAACATTGGAAGCTATGTTTGCCATTCTCTATTGTAAGGTTACAGTTTAGATTCTACTACTGAGATGCACTTAACCAAATGGTTCATTACATACATCTACCAGTTCTGTGCATAACAGTGAAAAAATATCCACTCATTATCTGGGTCATTCTGTGTTCTAATCAAACTAGAGAGAACCTTAATTCTGTGATATTTTCTTTATC